AATGAATCAATTCACACACATACATACACGCACACACACACACACACTCTCACACACACACAAAAAAACAAACAAACAACAACAACAACAACAACAAAACAAATAATCGGGGGGGGGGAAGAGGAAGATATAACAACCACAATTTTTTTTTTTTTGAAGTTCTTACAACAAGAAAATGGAGGGGACACACCTGGGTGGGAGGGGGGAGAGGGAGGAGGGAGGGAGGTTTCGGTGATGGGACACAATAGTCAACTGCATTGTATATTGACAAAATAAAAATAATAAAAAAATAAAAATAAAAATAACATAACCCCTAGGAAAGGAGGCAAAAAAAAGAATGATACAGGTTGTAATCTCAGAATTTTTCTATATACTGTATTCAAAAAAAGCATGGAGGGAAAATGGCAAACATGTCCTGAACTTTTTTTAGTAAGTTTGTTTTCTGTAGTGGTATGGGTGAATCCATTTTGAACCTATTTTTAGATGTATTATACGACTGAGTAAATGAGCAAATTTTCTAGAAGCCAGGGATTTTATTCTAGAAGATGAAAAATAAAATGTAGAAGAAAAATAAAATATAGAATGGAAAAAAAAAAGAATAGTGCTGCATATGATTGTTTCATTGTTGAAGTGTTTATCCTCCCTCAGCCTAAGAGAAGAAGTCTCCCAATTTTCCAGAATGGCATTGAGGACCATCTGTAGTATAGCCTTCATGCATCTTTCCCTGTTCACATATATTCCACCTTGTGGGCAAACTAGACCCGTTGCCATGGTCTGAACACACCCATGCTTTCTGCAGTCTTCCTGTTGTTTTTCCTTCGCATAGAATACCCACCTATTCATCTCCCCATGTTGAAGTTGTATCATTTGTTAATTCAATGTATATTTACTGATGGTAATTCTATGCAAGGAATGAATTATACTTGCGATTTTAGAGAAGGATACTTAAAGATTTTTTTCCTTTTCCTTTAGTTGGACATGAACCCCATCTGCTCTTAACTACCTTAGAATATTTTGCATCTCACAGAATAGTTTCCTTACTTGCATGATAGACCATTTAACTGTGTGCTTGTCCCTTACCTCCTACTAAGTGCATTGAAAGCAAGAGCTGTACCTTAAATGTTATAACATTGGTAGAGCCTAACTCAGCTCTGGTCTCTGCTTGGTGCTCAAGAATCTGTCAAGTTGAATGGAGTATGTAGATGCCCCATGGGCGTTAGTAGACCCAGAGACAAAAACCCTGGTTCCCACACACCCATACCACTAAAGATGTTTGCTACTGACTGCTCAGGAATTCTACCTGTACTAATAGACAAAGTGTCCAAGGCAGCACCCAGCCAGCCCTCTCCTGCAGAATGTGCTTGCTTTAGAACAAGCCTCATCCAGAGTCAAAGGGAGACATGGCTGGAGACCGTAAGTCCTGCTCTGACCCACTCATTCTCAATATGATCAGGAATCAAATGTGAAAGAGAGAAATGGGTTGACTTAATTAAACTGAGAATGTTGTTGACTTTTGTTAAGCAATACTATCAAAACCAAATTGAAAGTTGAATTGTTTTAGCTAATGTTCAAAATGCAAACTTTTACTTGAAATACTATTAACTAAACTGTCTAATTTGTTTGAAAGGCCCTGACCATACTTTGGGTGGTACAAAGATTGGTCCCCTAATCCCCTTTCAGCTGCCTTCAATCTATATATTAGATAAAGTATGACATCACTTTAGGAAAGTTTGGTGCACTTGTGTTTAGAGGGCATGGTCATCATTCCAGCTGAGATGCATGTGCCCCATTGTCCCTTTCCTAATGCTCTTTTTGAACCCTCTTGATTGAATGATTAAAAAATAAAAACAAAAATAAATCAGCAGGGAAAAGGTAGAAGAAGAAAGCCACGTGGCTTCTCATATCTTTTACTTTGTGCTTTTAATGCTAATCTTTTATTGCTTTTTCCTGAAATGGGATGAGATTTAGACAAGAAAGAGTGAGGGGAGTAAATGTTGAACACCTTTCTGATAGGGACTCTGTCATTTGATAGCAATAAGACTGTATGAACCAAAGTTGGGTACCAATCCATCACTGTACAGCAATCAACATTGGCTTAGGTTTTAGAAAAAGAGGCAATAAATGACTAAAGTTGGCATGCAAAAAGTAACAGTGATAGTAACACTTTACTTCCTGTCAGAGGAGTGTCTAACTTATGTTATGAGCTTATATTAATAACTTTCTGGCCTCCTTAGACCATCCTTTTTGGTTTTTCCTCATTTTTAAAAAATTCTCTTTACAGGTAAAGGTAAGATTAAAGTGTCTGAGGATGAACTGAAGAAACTCCTTCTAATTAAATGGTGTGTTTTGGAAACCACTTGTTTAAGAGCTCCTGGTGTCATTACTAGAAAAGTGGTGAAGATGGTTAAAATTTTGGTGAGCATTGCTTTTGTTTTAAAATAACCTTCTAGAAAAAAGGTTTTGCCCATATATTTTGTTTCTTTTGAATTAGCATATTGTTGATTTTAATTAATTAATTTCTAATTGACAAATAAAAATTGTATATATCACGTACAATATCTTGTTTTGAAATATGTATACATTGTGGAATGGCTAAATCTAATTAGCATATGCATTACCTCACATGCTTATAATTTTTTTTGTGGTGAGAACACTTAAAATCTATTCTTTTAGAAATTTTAAACCATACAATACATTTCTTTTAATTGTAGTCACCATGTTGTACATACTCTTGAACTTATTCCTCCTGCCTAACTTAAATACTGTATCCTTTGACAAACATCTCCTCAATCCTCCTTCATCCCCCCAGACCCTGGCAACCACCATTCTACTCTCTGCTTCCACAAGTTCAACTTTTTTAGGTTCCACATATAAGTGAGATCATGCAGTATTTGTCTTTCTGTGACTGGCTTATTTCACTTAGCAAAATGTCCTCCAGGTTCATTCATATTGTCACAAATGACAGAATATCCTTTTTTTAAGGGTGAACAGTATTCCATTGTGTATATATAACACATTTTGTTTATCTATTCATCTGTTTATAGACACTTAGGCTGATTCCATATCTTGGCTATTGTGAATAATGGGGCAATAAACACGGGAGTGTAGATGTCTCTTTGACATACCAATTTAATTTCCTTTGTATATATCCCCAGTAGTGGGATTGCTGGATCATATGGTAGCTCTAATTTTTAATTTTCTGAAGAACCTCCATATTGTGTTCTATAATGGCTATCCTAGTTTGCATTCCCCAACAGTGTGCAAGCGTTTCCTTTTCTCCTCTTTGACACTTATTATCTTTCATCTTTTTGACAGTAGTCTTTCCATCAGGTGTGAGATGATACCACACTGTAGTTTTAATTTGCGTTTCTGTGATGATTAGTGATGTTGACCATTTTTTCAGGTACCTGCTGGCTATTTGTATGTCTTCTTTTGAGAAATATCTATTCAGACCATTTACCCATTTTTTTAATTGAAATCAAGTTATTTGTTTTCTTACTATTGAGTCGTTTGAGTTTCTTATATATTTTGGATATTATCTCCTTATCAGATTTTTGGTTTGCAGATATTCTTCGATTCCATAGGTTGTCTCTTTACTCTTGATTGTTTCCTTGGCTCTGCAAAACCTTTTTAGTTTAATATAATCACATTTGTCCATTTTTGCCTTTGTTGCCTGTGCTTTTGGGTTCATATTCAAAAAATCATTGTCCAGACCAATGTCATGGAGCTTCCCCCCTATGTTTTCTTCTAGTAGTTTTATAGTTTCAGGCCTTAGTTTTAACTCTTTAATCCATTTTGAATTGATTTTTATATATCGTGTAAGATAAGGGTCTAATTTTATTCTTCTGCATGTGGATATCAGTTTTCCCAACACCTCTTATTGAAAAGACTGTCCTTTCCCCATTGTGTGTTCTTGGCATCTTTGTCAAAAATATATAATGGGCGGATTTATTTCTGAGCTCCCTGTTCTCTTCCATTAGTCTTCATGTCTGTTTTTATGCCAATACCATGCTGTTTTGATTAGATAGTTCTGTAGTATATTTTGAAGTCAAATAGTATGATACCTCCAGCTTTGTTCTTTTTGCTCCAGATTGTTTTGACTACCTGGGGTCTTTTGTGGTTCCATATGAATTTTAGGGTTTTTGTTTGTTTGTTTCTGTGAAAAATGTCATTAGAATTTTGATAACATATGTAATTATATAATTCCTTAAATTTCATTAAGTATTAAGTGACCCTGGAACAAGTTACTAATAAGTGTTGTGTAGCAACATTTTATCAATATAGATATTTATCTGTTGGCAACTATTTTAGCTAAAATGTAACTCTTTAATAATCATTTTGGTCATGTGATACTGAATCAGAATTAGTATAATCCTATTTAAATCAACTGAGTGGATTTGATGCTCTCTTACCTGCTTATTCACCAAGTATTTTTTCTTCAGTTCATCCTCAGACCCTTCAATCTTACCTTTATCTGTAAAGAGAATTTTTTTTAAATGAGGAAAAACCAAAAAAGATGATCTAAGGAGACCAGAAAGTCTCCTCTGACAGCAAGTAAAGTGTTACTATCACTATTACTTTTTGCATGCCAACTTTAGTCATGGGTGCTGCCTTGGACACTTTGTCTATTAGTACAGGTAGAATTCCTGAGCAGTCAGAAGCAAACATCTTTAGTAGTATGGGTGTGTGGGAACCAGAGTTTTTGTCTCTGGGTCTACTAACACCCATGGGGCATCTACATACTCCATTCAACTTGACAGATTCTTGAGCACCAAACAGAGACCAGAGCTGAGTTAGGCTCTACCAATGTTATAACATTTAAGGTACTGCTCTTGCTTTCAATGCACAACCAGTCATTCTGCGTGCCACATGTGTGGCAGCCCTGTACTTCCCTTCTTAAACTTAACACCCTGTTTGTGCTATTTCATTAGCTAAAGATATGAGACCTTTACAGGGTAATGTTATAATAAAACTGTTTTGTTATGTAACACATTAATTTGTTACATAAATAATGTTTTTCCCAAAAACCAAAATATATTTCAGATTTCAAACATTTAGGCATATGCTACTTTCCAACCAACATAATGCCCTTCTCAGTTATGCTCTTTTTGGCTTCTGCTACCCTGACCTTTAATATTCTTACACTGTTCATTTATCTTTTTTGCTTGATTATACCTCAACACTTTCTCCTTCAAATAGACACTACATTGTCCTTACTGTTCTCTTGCCTCTTTTCTTTTATCTTTTGCTCCACCACCACTTGAAGTCTATCTTCTCTGCCCTACTTTTTTCCCCTTCTAGCAGCAGGAGTTTTCCTTCGTAGATGTTTGCTTCCTGCTTATTTAATTTTACTTTTCATTTTAGGACTCTTAAAGATTATTCAGTCAATTTCCTCCCTCTCTGTATCCTGACTTTACCATAAGGTGTTGGCACAAATGTATTTGGTTTTCACTATAAAATTTCTGTGCAACTCTCTTGTTTCAGGCTGAACTTTGCACCTGATATAGTCACTCTATGTTCCACCACCCCTACACCAGCTGAACCCCTTCTCCTTTAAGAGAGTAGCTCTTGAAGAGGCTTTTAATCTCACATCTTTGTCAGAGTTATGTTCTACCAAAACTTGTCCAGGGACTAGTAAGATCACATATTTTTTCAAAAGTAATTTTACTTATTTTGACAACTTTACCAGAAGAGATACCCAGGCTCAAACACATGTACAGACGTGTACACTCTTGCATGCACAAATCCCCCACAACCACTTAGCCATACTACAACTATTGAACATTCTCTTTGTATGACCTCAGTACAGAAATCTATGTTTCACCATATTGTAAATCTGTAGTTAGAAAAAATTTTTAAACATAATTATTCATTTTTCATGCATCTAGAGAGTTTTTGTATTTATTTCATTGGCCATATAATAGTCCATTGTGTTATAGAATAAATAGTTATTTCTTGACTCATGAGAATTTATATTGTTCTCCTTTGTGGTCATTTTAATGTAATTATTTGCATATCTGTGCATAGTACATTTTCTTTTTTAATGTTTATCTTTGAATTATGTTTTAGTAGTAGATTACTAATAGGCTTTTCAGAGGCTGGTTTGGTGGAAAGAAGAAGGCTGCCTAAGTTAGGATTAATTAATAAAACCACAAAGAAGATGAACAGATTTGAACACACTATGTTAAAATTTAATTTCTTATATTTTTTACAAATATAACTCAAATTTAATGTCAACCAAATGTTTTTAAATGTCAGTATAAATACAACACAAGGATATATAATTCTAATATTGAAAGAACACATACAGATCAGTAAGTAAAGTTCTAATATCACATAGACTAACGAGGACAGGACATGAGCATAAAAGTTGATAGGATAAAATAACAACATGGAAAAATTCTCAGCAAAGATATAAAAATTTAAATGGAAACCTAAAATAACCTTACATTAAAAATGTCAGATCAACAGATAAAAGGACAAGGAAATTGACATTTTCATAAATTGTAATTAGAAACATATTTTGCTACAAAATTTCACAAAACAGTTGAACAATATGCACTAATAACCTTAAAAATACTCATGTCCTATGTCTTCTGAACATCTGTGTTAAAGGAATTTATATGAAAAATGCTTTATGGAAGAAAGTGCTCATGATGGCATTATTTATTTTAGAAAAAAACAGTAGGGAATGATTAAATTAAATATGGTTTAATGAAAGATTAAACAGTCATTGGAGGGAAAAATTTTCACAGCAGATATACAATAAAAAATACTTATGTTATAAAGTCAACAAATAAAGATTCAAAAATTGATTATTCAGGAGGTTCAAATGGACAACGAAAACCCCACTATTATTAGGTAAAAGCACTGCAGGAAAAGCTAGCCAACTGATGACTGTCATTGGGTGTTGGAGCTCTTGCTGTTTTCTTTTCTAATTTTTCTATTTTTCTGAATTTTCAGAAAAAAAAAAAAAACAACCAAAAAAAACTACTGTCCCTGCCCTGACACTATCATCAGTGTCTTCAGGGACAGGTCATCCATTGCCCCTGTCCTCAGCACTACAAAGGCCACTGCCCCTGTCTCAGAGTTAGGTTTTTCTGTTCCACAGCCTGGGGATCCACTGGATTGTCATTATCAAGAACACTTGCTACAAACCTACAAACCCCAATGTCAAACATCAGAAGCACATTAGGGTAGACTTATACTAGTTTATAGAATTTTGACATTAAGCTCATATTTTCCTCTATGTAACCAATATATATGTATATGTAACTAATAATCAGAATTAGAAATCAGTCATTGCCTAAGTTGGAAAATGGAAATGACCTGTCCAGGAAAGGGTTACATGTTTTCACCATCAATTATAAAACGTATATGTCTTCACCACAATATAGTTGTAATATTATTTTTAATGACCCAAACTCTCTTTAAAGCAGATTTCAAAGAAAAAGTGATTTTAAGTGATTTTTCTGTCATAGAGTTACACTGTTCCTTCTGGTGACTTGTTGATGTTGTCTCGGTTTTGGCTGCATAGAAATCCAAAGTATTTTCCTGAACCCGAATTGTTCAAACCTAGAAGTTATCTCTTTCAGTATATATCATTCTTTGATTTTTACTTCTTTTTATGGCAGGAGTATAAATTAATAAATTAATAAGACTATATTATTAAGCAGCCATATGTCTCTGATAACTAACAAAAAATTGCCTAGAAAGTACAGATTAGATGGTACAACATTTACAAATCAGACAGAAAAGTTTTTGGAATAAGCTCCAACTTTAAAATAGATTTTATCTGAAACCAGAAGGGCATGTTAAAATAAATATGCCTGGTTCTGATAGAAGACTTACTCTATGTTCCTCAGGCAATTGCTTTTGTTATTGGTTTCCAAGGAACACAAAAAATAAAAATAAGGCAAATTAAAACCACGATCTGCTATTTCTTTAAATTGGTGAGTTACAGGGCTAAAGAGAGTCTTTAGAGGTCATTTGTTTTGTTCTCTGCCTTCAGGTAAAACTGTCAAAAATGGCATCCAGATATATCCATTCTGCATGCCAAGCTTTCTCCAATAGGCAGGACTGTCAGTGTCTTACTACTAAATGTATTACCAAGAGAAATTTTATGATGGAGACTGAGACCTTATAAATATTCTTCTTCAATTCTAGGTCAATTCTGTGGCTGGTTTACATTATCATTTACATTTACCACTTAACAGAATTCTTTTAAAACCTTTTTCTTTATAATTTCATGTTCCAAAAACACAATTGTGTCTGATATTAATAACAGATTGGAAAAAATTACCAACAACCCTGCAACTTTCTATGCAAGGATTAGCTGTTCAAGGTCATTTTTAGCCAAAGAGAAATAAAGTTAAGCTTATTTATATAAGACTTATTTGGAAAATAATGTTTTCTTCCCACAGGAACGTTGGGAAAAGGCAAATTTAGAGAAGTATGCTTTCTTGGACTGCTTCATGGCTTTTGGAAGTGGGAAGTACCAGTGTCCTGGAAGGTCAGTGAGACAGCTGGGTCACATTTATTCAGAAAGTCTGAAGATGATGGCTAAGAGGGGGAAGGCTTTGGCTTAATCTCTCTTTTCTGTATTATCAAACTTCAGGGAAATCCAGGACAGTACATTTTGTTTGGTTGGCCAGTGGCATTGTGAGATGTCTTGGTGGGAATGTTTAAAGTGGCTTCTGATAGGAGACTCATGTGAGGAAAATGCTACATTTGCAGATGCAAGATAAAAGCAGAGTTTGTGGTTCAGATGGTCACCTCTCATGCAAGGATAATTTGAAATGGCTTCAATGCTACCTTTTGTAAAGACAAAGACAGAATACTATTTCTTTATCTACAATGTTATTATGGAGTTTTGCTGGAGTTACAGAACATCTTGAACTTGAACTTAGCATCAGTTTACTAGATGGTTTTCTTTATTGGGTTAATTTGGTTTTGTTAAAACTTCCTTTGATATCTTTCACAGTTAAATTAATCTGGTACCCAGAACTCCTCTTCAGTGTGATGCGCTGCTCTGCTGCAAGTGTCCCTCATTTAATGAGAGTTTTTTTTATGTTTATTTAATCAAGCAGAAAACTTTTTTGAACATCTAAATTGTGCCAGGTCCTCTGCTAAGCATCAAGGTTAGAGCACTGAGGAAGACAGACATGGTCCCTGACTTCTTAGAATTTACAGTCTACATTAAATGAGTCCTATTTCTTCATTGGGGGTGGTTCCATTGGAAAAGTGTTGGTACCTACTTGTAACAAAATCTCAATTAATGCACAAATCCTTTAAATTCTTACATCTGAAAAATTGTAGCTTTTTGATTTAAAATATCAGTAATCTTCATTGTTTGCACAGTAATGCAAGTTCATATTTGCAATTATTACTTACTGCACAGATTTCATTCTATCGTCCTTTTAGTCTGCATGTTTTAGAGTATTAATATGTTTTTAGTAATTGGCAACTCTCCCATAATGGTTTTAATTAGTGTTTGCCAACCATGGAAATTCAGTCCTCCTTTTTAGAAGTTATTCTAGAAATGTGAGCCTAGCAAATTGGTGCCTGTTGTTTTCTTGGAGACAACTATTTGTTCTGGGATAAGTCGTTGACCTAAACTGGCCAATCAGACTGAAAAGAGACTTTTCTTCTATGTTAGGAGAGATGTCTCCTTTATCTTCTCCCATGGGACATGAACAAGAAAGTAGATCGCCCCAGCTGTTACTACCAGCAAGTTCAGGAGGACAAAGCCTTATGATGGGATAGAGTCTGTGGATGGCAGAGCAGAGATGTGGGAAGAAGGGTCCATGTGATGTATCACTGAACTCATCAGCTTTGAGCTCATCTACTTCCTGTTAGATTATAAATGTCCTTACTTTTTAAGGCAGTTTTAGCTGAGTGTTCCTTTACTTATGGCCGAAAACATGCTGACATAGCCACCCAAAATCCCCAGCATTGAACATTGTAATTGAATGTCAGATACTTTCATGGCATAGTATAACAAAAACAACAGCAAAAACCCATCATGCTCATTCTGCCTTTTGTATTATTTTCACTTTCGAGAGCAGTTCTTAAGCCAATAACAAATTTACTGTTTTTGCTACCTATTAAGTATCAGTGTCCTTTTCTAAGTGGATTTCTAAATCTAAAGGATTTCTAAATGTGGCTTTCCTAAAAACAATAGATGTTACTTTTTTTAGATCCCTTTACATATATTCTCAATAGCAACTGAAGAGTTTTTATAATCATCTTTGACATTGAGTAGAAATATTTTAAACCAAGCACTGAAATGTTTTACAGTGAAGCACATAGCATGGGCCAATGATCAAGGATTATGTGATGACTATTGTTTATGAGAGGGGATGTTACCACCTTCTATGGTAGCTTTTGAGGCTAAAAGATATTTCCTTGAGTTTGAAAGTAATGGGTACAATAAAGGGGGCTATGGCATTGCAACTCAATCAATAGTTTATTTTTTGTACAGAAACTATTTTTAGGATGAACTGAGCTGTTACTATATGCAAAGCAATGTCCTGGGTACTGTAGGGGCTCTGGACATGAGTAAGACATGTTCTCAGCCCTCATGAGACAACAGTTTAGCGAGGGGCAAGGAGGACATTGAGTTCATAAACAACCCCAAGGATTGCAAGATGTAAGATGCCCAAGCACCACACTATGGAGACTCAATTGAGAGAGAGGGTACATCTGGTCAGGGAGATCTTAGAAGATTTCCTGGGGGAAGTAGCCTTCGAAAGGTTGGAAGAACCTTTAGTTTAAGGAAACAGAATAAGCAAAGGTTCATTAAGCATAGAGGTATGTAGTTTAGGAGTTTATGGTTTTACTGTTATTGGAACCAGATTACAGATAGTGGTGGGAAGTAAGATTGAAAAGGTACATTGGCCCAATTGGGAAGGCCCCTTAATATCTGATTTATGAGTTTGTATGCAGCTCACAAAGCATTAATAAATTATTAAAAGGTTTTGGCTAGAATGGAATAGCATGGTGCATGACTTAGGTTATAGATTGTGCTTACATTTTATGTGAGAGACATGGAGTAGTAGAATCTAATCTATCAGATCTGGAAGAAGATTAGAAATGGGGATCAATCGAGAGGAAGGATTTGAGGCGGACTGTGGCTTTGAATCAAGGTGGCTGGAAGAGATGACAGAGATGATGGAAATAGAGAAATCAGAAACAGGAGTGAGTCTGGGGGCAAGATCTTAAGTATTCCTTAGAAAACACCTAGTCTGAGGTGTAGCAAAATATATATCATATAACCAAAATTTAAAGGTTAAATATGAATGTTGAATACATGTGAGCTATTAAGAAAACAAACAAACAAATCATAGTTTAGTTTTCTATTGTTTCTGATTTAAAAGTCCTCAATTTTTCTTTTACTTATTTTAAACAGCCAAGTCAAGAAACATTTTGTTTTTAAAGAGAAATAAAATAGAAAATTGTTTAGAAAAGCTAATGACTTCGTTTGGACAATAAATAAGATAGTTCTTTCCACTAGAAATTTAATTCTTAGTATAATCCTCAGAAGACTGCACACATTCTTAATTTGTATACCAGAAGCTAATTTATTTTCTCATGTACCAAATACTCAGTGAGTCAAAGACAGTTGCCTATAATGTAGCATCATGAACACATACTCTTATGGCCTTTCAGCTGTCACCTCTTGGAGGCCACTGAGATGATATGAGAAACCCTCATACAAGTAAACATAGAAGGCTTTGCTGAGTTAACTAAATAAGTACTTGGTGCTGCCAATGGCTGCCAATCAAAAATCAGAATGGAAGAACTGTAGTTCCTACTCCTAATCATGGGAATTCTGAAAATAGGTTTGGAGGAGGAGCCCCTTGCTAGGTACTTCCCAGTGGCACAGGAAAGGAAGTCTTCCTAGTAATCCTATTCCTGAGAAGTCTGGTGGTTTTCCAGAAAACCAAGCAGGAGAAAATAGCATGAACTACCAGATTTCTTCAGAAATAGTAGCATGCAAAATGAAGTTTCGTTATAATGGACAGTCTCAATTTAAACTACGAGAAGAGTAAGACAGGGGATTTTCTGTATTGAGGAAAACATCTCTGAGCAGGTATCTCTGAGAGTTGATGATCTTAGCACAAAGGGATGTGCTTGCTATAATGGCCCACTGGAACATACGCCAAAGCCAACAAGCTTAATTTTCCTTGGTTCCCATAACTGCAAAAGGATGGCTGCTTGGCTGTATCAGTGTGCAACTTGATATGGGCTAAATTCTAGTGTAAAACAACAACCCTAATCTTTGGCATAATTAACTGGCTTACAAAGGCATGCTTGGAAAAAAAGAGGGTGTAATAAGAGTAAGCCTGTGTGACTTGAAAAGCAGAAATGTAGCATGGATCCCTCAGGAATGGAAACTGTGATTTCTACTTTTTTGTGTGGGTTTGGGTCCTTCATGTATTCAGGGGCAGTGCTAGGCCACAAAGCCATGGAATTGTCTTGAATTACTAAGGAAAATCACACAGCTATTGAAAAATTACTTAAAAGTATAAGTCCAGCTAATAATAGGTTAGTAGTACTATTATTCAACCTAACAAACATTTCTTGAGCACCTATTATTAGTATGGTTATTGTTCATTCTATAACTATTTATTGAGTGTATGCTATATGTTCTAGGAGTTACCTTGGAAAACAAACAAGATGAAGTCCATTCCCTCAAGGAGCTTATATTTTAACTCAAGTCATTTTGATAAAAACTAGGGAAATTCAAAGACATAACATTTCTAAATTGTTTGTAATGTGGCTGGGGAGATGAGACATTGCAATATGAAAAGCAAGCCCTACTTAACAGCATAAGATAGCACATGAAAAATGCCAGATGACTCATATACTTAACAAGTGCCATAGAAGTTTGGAGGAAGGGGGATTAGAGAAGACTTTTGGACTAGATGGGAATAATCAATAAACAACATAGAAGAAAGCACATCTTCCTGAGGGAAGGAAAAAAATTAAGCACTTATAGGAATGTAATATACCTACCTGTTAATGATAGCAAGGCAACTATATATTTGGGATTTTTGAAGCTCTGAGCACATTTGTTTCTATATGTTTATGTTAAATATAATGTAATTTTAATGGTTGTGCCTTATCTAGTAAAATATCTTTGCATAATCTTGTATTTGAGAAGTCCTATAAATAGCTTTCTCCCTTTTATACTTAGAAATAGCTGACTGCTTTTGAGGAATGAGCAAATTCAAATCTGTATGGATTTAATGACAAGTTGAAAATCCAATTTACTCTGAGGAATTTGTTACATAAACAAATGCATCCCCTCAACCCCAGATGTTAAATATGATTAAATGAACTGTATTTACTTGAATAATTGTTTTCCAACGTTTTCACTAGTGTGCACTGGAGGGTATATAAAAAGGGACTAGGAATGAGGGTGAGAAGTGTGCATGTAATTAATTCCAAGACTCTGAGCCAGGCATCCAGAATCCCTTATTAATTTTCAGCCATGCTTCTCTCTTA